CAATAAAAATGGAGACTATTTCATTTAATAAATGTTTTGTTTTGATATATAAGTTGTTCAGTTTTTTTCATCTAAAAAAACAACATTAATTTCTTGGCGACCTAATATTATATTTATATAGATTCCATTGAGTGTTAATATGCAAAAATTCAGAGTTTAATTTTAGATAATAAAAGTGTTTATAACACCAACTGAATAAGAAAAAAGAAGATCTCTTTGTATCTAAGGAATCTTTACCCTATATGTTCCAGAGGCAACACATAGTCTCCTCTTACACACACACACACCCTTCAAAAAGACTTGCCTTACGATGCTTGGAAAATGCCCTTTTTTGTTACTAACCTGCTGCCCTTTTAATGCCCTCTGAACATTACTGTAAACCTATACTCTATATGAATTTTACTTCTTATTTTTCAAAACTATGCATTTTGTTATGCAAATGTCTATCTTTAGTTGGTATGTATTATTTTGTGTTTTTTCCTGAATGGATATTAAGACAGTTGTTAGAATGTAATCATACTTTTCTCCTGTGACATCAGAAAGATACAAAGTAAAAAAATCTGTAAAAAAGGATATCCTTAATTAGTTTTTATAACAGCAGCTTACTTACCTTTGTATATCCTTCCTAACCCTCTGAAATCCATCTGATCAGAACAGTTGAACACAACCACATACTTTCCAAGTGCTTTTCCCATATCTTTGGTAGTCTCCGTTTTTCCAGTTCCAGCAGGACCAGCAGGAGCACCACCCATGTTCATACCCAGGGCCTGAGCAAGAGTTATGTAGCACCTATATATATATAATCATTTATTTAAAATGTATGCAAGGTATTTTTTCTCTAAACTTTCTTGTAAATAATAACTGCAAAAGAATTGAAATACACCTATAACACTACAAAATAATTATTTTCCTCATATATTTGGGCTTTAACCAACATTTAAATTATAAGAAGCATGTAAATTTGCACAGATTGTTGCTTTAAATCTATATAAATCATTGTAAAAATGTTAATTTCTTTTAGATTATCATAGGTATTGCTCTCAAATATTGTGATACAATTCGAAATCTTAAACTAATTATATAGTTTATTTCAGTGATACATATATATCTATCTTTCAGAAAATCTGATGAAAAGAGTTAATAAGTACTAATATCTCGGCATATAAAACACAGTAAAAATAGAACCAACGTTCTTTGAAATTACCTGTCTGTCAGTGGTGTAATCACCAATCGATCAGTGCATCCTAAAAATTCATTTTGATAGATGAAAGAAACATTTGTTATTTGCACAATACACTGGTCAGTGTCCATATTGAAGTAAAATCTAGCTTGTTTCAACCATTCAAAGTCACTTGGAGTTCGAATATGCATTTTGACCTAAGAGTATAAAATTCACTTTAAAAATTCTTATTTTAAAAAAATAAAATTTATAAATACACTCACAAAAAATTCTGGGACATTTCTGGCTAACAACATTTTTTCTTAATAATTTGATACTTAAAATAGAAACATATGACAGATCTTCTATTACCGTTTTGAGAGTAAGCCTAAAAATTAAAAACATTGAGTGTTGGAACATGAGTAAGAAAGCACATTATGCTAACATAATAATAGGTGGGCAAACTATAATTTACAAGAATAAAGAAGAGTTTCTTTGGTAGTGGATCATAATACATGTCTAAAGACAGATCAATGTTTTGTCAAAACATGTAGTATGTTCCACCATTAATAAAACTCTTTCTTATGCTTATAAATTGTTGTTTACCTACCTATTATTAATGATTGCTGGAAAAAAATCAATATATTAGAAGTATAAAAGATGCATTCTTGAAAAGAGCAGAGAGACACAAGAAATTTAACTTGAAAACTATAAATTTGATATGGAATAATGAAAAAAGTGGGTAAGAAAGCTAAATAAATGACAATTTAAAAAGTTTGAAGTTACTAATGTAGGTAATAATGCCTATCTCCCAAAATGATGTATAGAATTCAGTGGAATTCATAACTGCTTTGAAAGGACAGCTGAGGTAGCTAAGTGATATGTATATATATGACTTGTATTGAATTTAAAACCCATTTTCCTGAAGAATTTATGACAAAGAAAAAAGGACATTTTTGGATTACTAGGGCAGAAAGGCTTGGGTTGGTTCTTTACCTGGTTCTTTACATTGAATGTTTGAACAAGCGAAAACATATCGACTCCATCAGCAGTGAATGGCATAAAGAACAAGTCAGTAACTTCAGTATTAATAGATTAATGCAAAGATTGCCTACAAACATAAGAACATTTCCAAAGAATCTCAAGTTACTAAACATCAATGGGTGAAAAAGACAGTGAATGTGCATTAATCTCAAAAATTGGTTTACAATATTCAAAGTTTTAAAATCTAATAAAAATGCATATACATATTTTGTGATTGGAAAGAAACATAAGAGATGGAAGATTCTGATAAGATTTCTATTCTGATACAATTAAATCATGCAATTATTAGAATTCAGGCATACCATTACCAATCTATCATTTGGTTTAGGTATATTTTTACTTGCCTTAAATGTTAGATCAACTATCTCCTAGTGAACATTAGGTATTAAAGAAGTTATCTTTATATTGAGACATTAACACAAGGTTCTCCTAATGGTAAGGTATGGACACTAAGTTCATGACTGATTATGTAAAGCAAATTTTAAGTACTTTTGTCCTGTGATATGTAATCTCATAGTCTGGCAAGACAATAAAGAACCTTAAGTTACACTGACAAGGACACAAGAGATTAGAGATTTATGAAACTGTGATATGTAAGATATTTTATTTTTTAAAAGATATTTCAAATATTTGCTTGATCTTTTACTTGCGATTTTATATTGTTTCTATGAGAAGTGTAAAATATTGTTATTGTGAATAATCTTATGAATTATTTGCTTTCTGGCTATTTTTCCCTGACTTATTATTAATGCTATCATTATTTTGTGATTTTGCTATTAACAATGTTGCTTTTTTGTATTTGAGTTCAATGTGGAGATTGGATTATTTATTTACAGTCTCCTAGCCGAGCAAGGAATTCTTTCATTAGTGTTTTATAGTTTGTAAAACTTGCATTGTTTTCAATAAATCTCTTAATTTTTAGTATTTGTGTTAAAAATGTTTTATAATTTTTTGTACCCTGGAAGTAATGTTGTTATTTGGTATGGTACAATGTTCCCAAACAGAAACCTCTTCTCTGACAGGTTGAAGTATCTTTGAGTTGTTTGGTTGGTTTTAGCTTGCTTTAAGGGAGTATTCTAGCAATAAGTTAAATAATAGGAAGGAATTAAAATTTCGTGAAAGTTATTGTAAAGTTGTTCCTTAGTTATGATGGAGATCAAAGATGCTGATGTGTCAATCTTGATGCTGTTAACTGCAGTTTTGACCAAACAAGTGCAGATGTTAAAAAGCTGGGTACCAAACTTGTTGGCAAGAAATGGGACTCATTTCTCTACAGCACTTCAAACTCCAACATGACTACCATATGCAAGCTGTCCATCTACAATGAAAGACCATGAAGAAGTACTACCATTCTTTGTTATTGCAGTGAACTTTTCACCCCTGCTTACTGGGAAATTTGATGGTAAATCAAATCTTACTGTTCATAAATTCATTAATAGTTTGGAAAGACATTTTTTATCTTTACCATATATTTGAGATTAGATTGGTGGAAAATGCAGTCTCATATTTGAGAGGAGGCCCACTAAAATAGAGGAAATCGGTAAAATTGTAAATGGATTTTTGAAAACTGGAGAGAATTTAAGAATATTAAAACTAACTTATACTTAGCTGCGTTAGAAAAAATTGGGTTGGCTCAATAACTGTTCAGTAGAAAGTACACTTCAAATACAGGGGTGAATGTAGGTACATTTATTTGGAAAAAAATCATAAAATTATATCAGTTATGGAACTGTGAAGCAACTGATAATAGAAATAGTAAAGACTTTGATACCTCAACTACATGTTCAATTAAGAGAATACTTGGAAGTTCATTATGTTGTTTCTATTGCCAATGTGTTAAAGTTTACCAAGCAGTATGGATACCAGCCTAGAAATAAACTGGAAGTTGCTCAAAGAGAAGAGTTTAATGGAAGAGAAAATTAGAGAAATACAGTAAAATATTATAATTGTAGTCAAAAAGCTACTTATCTGTGAATTGTCCCATTAAGGCTGTGCCTGAAAAAGATGAATACAGAAATAATAGACAGGAGTCTGAAAATGAGGAGAGAGGTTAAAGGAGGAGGCTTTGTTTCCTCTAAAGTAAAATCCTACCTAAGTTATACAACCACAAATAAAACTGAATTGTCAAACTTAACATTTAAAATTAATGATGTAGAAGTTGTTAGCAAAATAGACATTAGGACTGATCCTTCTATTACAGACGACAACATATGGCAACAAGTTACGAAAAACAACCCAAACCTTCATCTACTAAAATGAAATAAAGGAGAAATGTGTCTTGCTGATGGAATTATTAATGGTTGACACTTAGGACATTTCATGACTACGGTATTCATAGGAAATAGTATTATGGACCTATTAATTGCTGTTGTAAAAGATTTGGCAATACCCTGTCTCACTGGTTTAGACTTTATCCAACAGAAAGAAGTTAATTTGGACTTACGGATATATTTCCTTGAAATAAATATGTCTTCAGCAGAATGTAACTTTAAAAAATTATCATATGAAATGCACTGCTTGCATTGAAATTGCAATGAAAGTAAAAATTTATAAGAGGCATGACTGAAGTATGGCAATATTTTTAATGATAAGCTTGACCTAACAGATGTTGCTGAACATATCACTGAAACCATTAGTGAAAAATCAACACTTGGTAAACTATATCATTATTCAGTCACAAAGTTAAAAGTGCTTCAGGTAATGTGATAAATGTCTTACCACATGCTCTGAGAGAGTCTAAGTTCAACTGCAAAGCAACAAAACGGAATGAACATAGATTTAAAAATCTTTTACTTTGGCTGCATTTTTCAACTTTTTATTTTACCTTACATTGCTGATTTCACTTTAATTAGCATTACGGTAAAGAAAATAACAGATAAAATATAAAATTTTATTGAAAAAATTTTGATATTCATTTAGGAGATCCTAGAGGTTATGAAAATGAAATATGAAAATTGTAAGATGAAAAAGTATTTTTTATTCTTAAGATGAAAATCACATTCCATCCAGACTAACTTGGTAAAGGCATCGTGAAGATACACTTAATAAATCCAGAGTTATAGTACATATAGTTTCATGGTTACATTTTAGTTACAAGGTTAGTGAATATGACAAAACCCATATACAAATGAAATTAAATAATAGGTTAAAGAATTGCCAAGTTTTGATTTTTATATTTTAGGTGGATGTCACTTTAAGCTAGCACTCTTTGTCAGATCATACAGCTTACAACAAAGGAGCATGTGTCTAATTAAAAAAATATGCATGCATATCAATTTGAAAGTTGAGCATGAAATTTCTCTGCAGAATTACATCTTTTACATAAATATTACAATTCATGAAAAGAAAATGCAGATTGAAATTAAAATTGGAACAAAACGTGGAAAACATATGAATCTATAGGAAAGAAAAGCATAAAATTTAAACGAGATGGTTGTAGTCTCCAGATTTTAGATTAATCTCCTTTTCAGTCTTTCTCCTTTGTGAATGCCTGTTGGAGCACTATTATCTCACAGAATCGAAAAGTCATCAACTGTATGGTTTTTAATGATGTATATTTCCATATACAGACTTAACCTATGTAAAGCAATGAAGCTCTGTTAAAAAGCTATAGCAACTCATAATAGCAGCAAATGTTAAAGTGACTGTACAAAAAAAAAGAAGCCCAAGTGTGCAAGAAATATATGGATTTGGAAACTCTGATTACCATTTCCAGGTGTTCAGCTGCAAAATAAAATGTGCAACCAAATACAAAGATATTGTCAAAATAGATCAGTACTTCTTCTATAGCGGTCCCTTCAGTGTAAGCTCTAGTGACCTCTTAAAAGTGGTATGTGCATGACATAAACATTGTATAAGTCATCTCTCATGCTAACAGCAGTTTAGATATGCTCCTGTTGTTCAGTTTGAGTTGTCAATATGCAGATGCTATATCTATTGTGTTGAACCAATGAACCCCTTCCAGTTAATGCTGCTTGTTTTCTGAACAGGAAAAAACATATTTTATGTGTAGGCTCTACAACTGCATCACACAGTACAGAAAAACTAAAAATGTCTGTAGTAGAAAAAGAACACCACTTGCTTACATGGGGGTGTTGTAACTTCCTCTCCTACTTACACTTGTGCAATTCACTTCTTTTAGTCCTGGCTGACATTGGATTACATAATCATGGTA